ATTCAGAGGGCGGAACGGATTAACCGGATTTACACCGAACCCTATGGGGAAATTTGCATCGGGTTACGACCAACTCAGGATATGCCCAGAGTCATGGAACAGATTAAGTTCGTATCCCGAGGTACCACCATATTTTTGTTGATTGAATTATAATTTTATACTTATCAAAATGAGTCAGATGCATCATTGTCTTCATTCAGTACACATGATAAGCTTATAGCTTATACCCCAGTCAGAGCATCCTTCAGGAGGAAAAGGATGCAGAAAAGATGCAGAAAATTCTTCCTAGGAAGGATTAGAGGGCCCTTAAATGTAAGATCCTGCCCTAACAGACCACTCTTATTTGTCCTATATAAGATGCCCTGTCTCTCATAACATGTGGTACATTTTCTACAGCGCCAACAGAGCATCCTTCCCACCCTCTAAGTTATTATAAAAAAGGAGGGGAAATGTATCAGGGCTTCATCAATATCTTCAGTAAATTGTACATAGTTCACATATCTCTCCTTTATTCCTTTAATTGTTAGGACTGTTACTTGGGGGCCACCCAAGATCCCACAGACATGGGATCAGGCTCAGCATGGCCCATGACAGACAGCAATGGCAACTCACTTCAATATTCTGCCAAGAAAAAGCAAATAAATATTCATAACCAAAATCATGTCCACATGATAGCAGAAGATGAGCCCGCCTGGCTGGAAAGTATCCAACAAGCTACTGGGAAAAAGCACAGTGAGAACAGAAGTAGCACTGGTGTTTATGATGTGACAGAGGATTAAAACCAAATGGCTATCCAGCTACTGATGTGCCCAGAGGCAAAAGGACAGCTTGATGCTCCCAAGTCATGTAAACCATTGGTACATCAAGACCTAAGATTCTAGGTACCAGTGGTCATCAGTGAACTAAAATGGGCTGGAATGGATCGTTTTCACACCAGAGCAGTACCAGATCTTCTACTGTTGACAAGAAAGAAATAAAAGAATTGCAGTTTTAAAAAAAGAGTGCTCAGGTCAGTGTTTGGACACAACCCCAGAAATAATACAATCTCAGTTTGAGCCCAGGCAAGCCTTTCATTATTGAGGTGATTCCAAGTCTATGCCCCAATACAGATGCAGAGCAAATGAATATTGAACAACTTTATGCCGACTTCCAACATCTTGCCAATGTAACACCCCCCAAATTACCATATTTATCACAGGTGAATAGAATGCTAGAACTGGAAAGCAAAATACTGGTAAATTGTGGCCATGATATAAGAAAGGAAGCAGGTGACAGATCAATAGAATTTCACTTGTAAAGCTCTTCTGTAAAGGGAGCTTATAACTATATTCTTATCAATATATTAATTAATAGTAATAGATTTTATTAATATAAATAAAGCATCAAGTATGTTGATACTACTACCCAGATAAGAATGTATGGAGACCAGCTAGTCTGATCAGCACGCAGATGCACACTGCACTATGTATGTATGTTTCTGAAAGCCAAGAATGGAGCTTTCTTTTCAGCATGTTCTTATCTAGGTGTACAAGCAAGGCCATGCGTGCACTAAACAGACACAACTGGTGCTGTGCTCCCATTCACAATTATCTCTATTGCCTCTTTCATATTCACTCATTACTAAATTGCTTCATCTCTATCCCCTTTGAGGATATTTCAGCTATTACCTCAAGTCGATGAGAAATTTCAGCTAATTTAGTGATAGAGGGTTCTTTGTAGACAAACTCTTGCTCATCCAAGTCTCCAAATTTGCTGCCATAAAAACCAACCCGGAAATACGTTCCAAACATTCTCTAAAGCAACCTAAAAGGATGAAGTGAGAAATACAACGGCAGAGTTAGACTGGTCATTTGAACATTAACTGTAACATGTCTTACTAAACTGATTATCTATCCCACGCTGAGCAGCTCTTTCCTTGAATATCCAGTTTATAGATATTTATTTATTTAAAACGTTTATATAGCTGCCCATCTTAAAAACAACTTTGGGCAGCTTACAATCAATAAAACATGCATCTACAATTAAGTCTGGGTTTATATTCTTGCTGCTTCTGTTTACATTAAGACTATGAAAGACAATCCAGATATTCTTAGGATCTTGAAGGTACTTCAGGAACCATCATTTGCCAATAAAGGGCAATCTCTTCTTGCACCCCTTGAAATGGGTTGCTTGGTCAGTCTTACACTCCTCCCTTCTCTAAGCTGTTACCCAAATCTTTAGCAGTGCCTTTAGAAGCATGCAAGCTAATCAGGTCAGGTACTCACTACATTTCCAAAAATGTGCGCCAACTCACCAAATCAGGACCGGGCCGGACCAAGAGCAGAGAAGTTGAATGGGAAAGGAAAACAGAGAGAGAAGTTAGTAAGAGAATGGCAGCTCTTCAACCCAATCAGCTGTCCAGAGGGAGAGAGTGGGGACGAGTGGACTGAGGACAGGAATACTATCTCAGTGATTGGTCCATAAAGGGCCTGATACTACTGAGATAACCTTCTTCTCCTAAAATAAGTTACTATTGTTATATTTGTTTTCCAGATATCTCTGTGCACTTTCACTGCCTGTTGAACACATGTTATTTTTATGGCACTGCTGTAATTATAAGGAGGAAACAACTCCCATGGTTTTGCAATAATAATTGTCTGTGTGCAGCCCAGAACTTGATCAAGTGCTCCCTTGGTAACGTCTTTCATATTCCACGCATTCTTCAGTAGCTACTTGACACTTATGAACTTTCTCTGTCATCAATTTCATCACAGCTTTGGTGAAAAATACATCTGGTGACTGGGTCAGAGCTTGATTAACTTTGATCAGGGACGTTCAATGAAAATAAAAACACCAAGAAAGAGAGATGACATGACAGAGGAAAAGAAAAACAAAAAAGAAGAGAGCAAGAGCAATAAAACCACTGAAGTTCAGCAGTGCCCGAAAAAGCACAGTTAAATATTCCTCGTGATGCAATGGCAGAAGATCTGAGTTATCTGGCTTGCCTCAGGGCATAAGCATATGTACTGTCAAAAAACTCAGTCCCAAGCAAATGAATGCAGCATTCAGGACTCCTGATCAGCACTTTCAGGACTCCTGATCAGCACTCCTTCCAGCACTCCTCATCCTGGGCATTTCCATATCTAAACCTAACTCTCCTGCTATGTTGCATAGAGTGGAAGGGAGGAGAAGGTGCCTTAATAAAGCACGCTACCCAGAAGAACCTGCAAGCGCTAGCACTGAGCTCAGCTGTCCTATCTGAGATAGCCTAGTTTCAAGATTGAGCTGCTCCGTCTCCTCTGCCAAAGCAGAACTTGGAGGCTATTTCCGAAACCCCTATTCTTTGTCAAGCAAGGACACTTTCTTTGTAAACTGAGGTCAGCATGAATTTCTAGCAGGGCATCTTCCTTTTAAAGCACTTCTAGTGTTATGTTTCCTTAATTTGCAAATTGATGAATAGGAACCTATATCTATCTCTATCTGTCTGTGTCTATCTTCGTTCGTTCGTTCATTCATTCATTCATTCATTCATTCATTCATTCATTCATTCATTCAT